GGGACTCGATCCTGGACTCCAGGATCATGACCTGAGCCGAAGGCAGTCGCTTAACCAACTGAGCCACCCAGGCGCCCGACATTCCCTTTTCTTAAATCTGGGAAGTTGGGTGGTGCTACTTCGTTCTCACTTCGTTACTGGGCTCCTTGCTAAAGTCACTGAGGCTCGAAGAGCTTAAATAACTTCCCGAAGGCCACCTGGTCAGGAATGGCAGGGGGTACTCAAAGCCGGCTGGGCCTGCCTGCAGAGGGGCCCACGGTGAAGATGCATGCCACCTTAGCACACGTAAGGAAGTGAATCCTGGGTGATGAGGGGACTTCAGGATGTCGGACACACCATTGCTTAATAGATGTTTGCTGAATAAGCAAACAGATGCACAGGTGAGTGGGAGGGGTCTTTCATGCACCCAGACCATCACACCCCACCCCCGACCATCCCTGGGTGCGTGGCTTCTTGACTACGGCTTCCGGCACGCTGTGCTTACTTCTTCCAAAGTGCTCATTTAATGTGTTCATTTCTTCCACCTGCCTGTAGAACTTCTTTAGATTCAAGACCTCAGGGTAGGAGCCCGGACATTTCTTGCAGGTGATAACGGTGATTTGGGTAGGTTTGGAAATGTAAATGGCAAGAGTAATTTTCAGCTTCCATTTTGTCCCAAAAAGGTATGTGAACTTAGTTTTCTTACAAAAGCCTTTAAGTTTACCTTTAAAGTTTAAGACCAAAGAATATAAATAGGCCCATTTTGCAAGACAGGGCCCTTTGCAGGACATTTCTTGACCAGCCACATCGGGAGCTTCCTAGATGCGCTGCTCCTGGAGTAGTTCATGAATCACCCAAGACACGAGGATAGTTTGCTCAGGAAGGACACATGGATCCAGAGGTACACCCAGAGGCTGATGTTCTCTTGTGTTTTTTGCTTAGCAGGTTGCTCTGAAAACTAAGAGCAGGCATTTGTGGGAGGAAAGTCTGATGGCCAGCCCAGCCCCGACAATACCCTTGAGACGACTGACTGTGTCTCTTACTCTATGATAAGGCTTCTCCATATGCTCAGTCCCAGGGGCTGAAATCCTCTGCTTCATCTTGTGCTTCTATTGGTTCTCTTTTGCTTTCCTCTAGTCAGTCGTGGGGGGTTTCAATAGATGTTACCTCCACCATATGCTTCCACCTGTCCTTGCCGTTTTAGTTCCACTGCTCTACCCTGGTTTGCTGCTTCTCTCTCCGATGCTTTGGTTCATTGTGTCGCACCCTGCGGAACAACCTTGCTCCCAGGCTGATCTCCCTAAATCAGAACTTTGAGTGCATATCCACTCTCCCATCTTTATCTGTCATTTGCTCCACAATGGCAACTACTTAGCCAAGTAAAATCTTTCTTCCCTTGAAATTCAAGGTCCAGCCCTACATATCCCTGGTACTTGCTTCATTCTCGTACTGGAGCTCCATGAAGGCAGGATACTGGCTCCTGCATATTTTTATGTTCTTTGCAGCCTCTTGAACAGTGCCTTGGGTGTAGCAGGATCTCAGTGAATATCTGTTTCCATTAATTTTACTTGGTGTAACATCCACGGCATGCAGTAGACCCCAGGGTCAAGATTCTGGACCAGACCTTCAAGCAGATGGCTTGCCAACACCCAGAGAGAAAAGCAGTGATCAGGACATTTGCAAAAGGATGAAGAAGGACGGATTTGAATGCATCAAGTATTCTGCTATGAGTAGACCATTCCGTTTACTCTGAATTTACTGACTCAGCTCAGTGTCCTTCTCCTCCACTCAACTTCTGCCACTGTCCTGGGTGATTTGGACTTCTCCACAGACATGCAGTTCCTCATCCCAGCCTTTCATCGACTCTTCCTCAATGTCAAAGCCACTTACTTCCTTTCCTCTGGCCATGCCACACCCTGGGCTTTGTGTCCTGTTTCCCTTATCCAGCCTATGTACCATGGTCCACCACTTAACCCCGCTTTGGCCATCATCCTTAATTTCTTTGCCCCATACTCTTTCCAGCGCACCTGCCACTGACACTACCAACCACGTTTCTACTTCTACCCCAGGGCTGCTGGGGAAGCTCCCTGAGCCACACTGACCCTTGCCACTGGCGTTTAAAGCAACAAGAAAAAAATATAATCTCACATTCCCTTCTGGGTCCTACCTTCTTTCCTTATACTCTTCACAGCCAAGTATCTGGAAAGAGTGGTCTCCCCATGCTGCCCCCCTCCCTCATGCTCTGCCTCCCTGAGGGTGGTGCCTCAGAGACTGTCCAACACGATAGCCACTGGCCACATGTGGCTACTTAAATAAAACTCAGTAAAAACTAAAACTTACAGATGCCCCATCTCAACTGCTCAATAGCCACAGGTGATGCAAATATAGAGCATTTCCATTATTTCAGAGAGTTCTACTGGACAGTGCTGGTCTATGCCACTTCCAAATTGCCCCTCCTCCTGGGCTTCCTGTTGCCATGAGCCATAATCCCAATCATCATGTGATCCAAGCCTTTTTAAGGAAGTTTCACTGTGCATTCTTCCCTCTCACATACTGCAGTGTGTACACTTCCATTCAGAGATTAAGTCTTGAACGTTCTTCTTCCATCCATACCTCCCCACCCAGGCCATCAGCTACTCTGTTATACCAGTGGCTTACTGTTCAGTCCCTACATTCTCATTCTCTCTACAGCAGATGGTGGGATTTCTTCAAATGCACAACCATCTGGTGACTTCCTGGTTAAAGTCCATCCATGACTTCATCTGCCTTAGAGATAAAGGTCAAACCCGTCGACAGGGCAGCGACCCTTTCGGATCACGTTCCTGATGGCCGCCCACTCCTGCGCATCTTTTGCCAGTCTCTGCCTGCCCCGCACACGCCAGCCACATGGGGCTTCCTGCAGCCCCAAACATGATGCTCCCTCCCAGGCTTTTACTTCTGTAAGGCCCTCCCTATAAAGCACTCTCTCCTTCTTCATCTACATAACTCTCGCTCAGTCTTCATGTCTAAGGTGGACATCACATGGTTTCAGACCCACACCCCTGCCAAGACCAGGTTTGGTGGCTCTTCCACCTGTCCCCACTGCACCCATGCTGACGCCATCATGTATCTTGTCACACCAAACCGTGATGCTCCACTGAATTCCCACTACCCACACAGGGCCAATCACAGAGGCCGACAGTGTCGTGGAATCTGATTTCTTGGTTGACCCCTCATTAACAGTAATGGTGGTTAATCTTACTGGGTGCTGCAGGAAATGGAATCAGGCAATTGCAAAGACTTCTTTGATAAGCTGCTTTTAAGTAAAAGATGAAGCTATTGTATCCTGCTAGAGTGGAGTTCTCTAGACTGTGATTTGTGGCCCATAAACGGGAAACAAAATCAATATCGTGGGTCATGACCAACTTTTTAAAAGCATGGAATAGAACAGAATACATACATATTAAGGGTATTGTTTTGTGAAATTTTTGTTTCAGCTATATTAATGCATATGTATGTGCGTACTGGGCCATAATGTAAATGTTATCTCTTGCTGGGGATCAGTCACAGAAGTTGAAAAATACTATTCTAGATAATGCCTGGTTGATTATTCCTGGGGCAGACGTACAAACAGTAGAACTGCTTTAGGGCAATATACAATGATCTTAACGGTGTCACATTATACGAGCTCTGTAATTTTCCATTCTGTCTTCAACTGTGCCGTAATTCTCATTAACATTTCAGAAATATTTTACAATCTTTTTTTTCGTTTTGTGCTATCAAGTTATTCTAAAGGGTAACTTTTTTTTTTTTTTTTTCTTTTACCAGCTATACTGAGTCTTTAGCATCTGTTTAGAGGTGCAGAGATTCCCCTAGAGCAACTCCACAGATGGGGGAGTCCCACCTTCCCTGGTCAGCTTGCCCAAGGACCCCCAGGACGAGGGCTGTGCCCACTTACCTGGGTATGGTCCACGGAAGTCTGAACCCATTAGGTGCTCAATAAATATTAGTTTGTTGAATGAATGTGTATGTGAAACGATTTTACCATTTATAGAAATAAGGGTCCACAACTTGCTATCTGATGTTACACACTCCTTTATCTACCCAAATCAGGGCGGCAGGGGTGAGGCATTATGATGAGTGCATACTCAACCCTCCAGAGGAGAAGAAAAAAAAACACATAATGATTACCCTGTGGTTACAGAGTTCTACAAGCCACTACAACTTCCAGGGAGGCCTAAATGTTTTAGTTTGAATTTCTACTGAACTTGTCTTACCTTGGTATCTTCATACCTAGAGCATTTCTGCAAGATCAAAATAAGAAATAAATGCCATTTAAGTTTCCCTATGTGTACCAACATCCATGGATTGATAATGGTCGAGAGGATGCTGAGACCTTGTCCTGGGCATGGGAGGAAGGATCACAGCAAACCACTGGAAATATTTTGCTACGGACAGAGAAGGGAAGTGAGGAGGGGCATTTGCCCAGAACTCGCCATTCCCCAGGGAGGACCTTATGAATGTTCTAAGGGTGAATGTTCTTCTTCCATATACCAATTATACAGGAATTCATCCCATCATAAAAGCAACAGGCACACATACATATTCATACAAAATTTTAACACATTTAGAAAATATGACTTACATGTTCTTTACTCAGACAATAACATACCACGTTTGTGTTTAGCTTTCTAATATTTTCCACGTTTATACTTTAAAAACACTTGAGTATATAGTATATTACAGACTTTTCTTCCCCCTCTACATGTCCTGCACCCTTTCTAAGTCTATAAATACTTTCCAGAATTTTAGAGGAGGCCATAAATCCTACTGGGATTCTGGATCATAATGGATGTAACTAATTCCCCGGCTGTTGGACAGTTGGGTGGTTGCCAATTTTTTCATTTTTTACAAACATTTTCATAAACATTTCTATAGTTGAGTCTTTGTGCTCATCCACAGCGATACACTTAGAATGAGAAGTTTAATTTTTCCTCTAAAAATACACGCCATGGTTATCTCCCTTTGCACATTTATTTACCATAGAATGTCCATGCCACTACTATTCAAGGGAAAAAAGTTCCCCTGCTTTGATCTTGGCCTTGGCAAAGGGACGTTCATAAAGCAACAGAGGTCTACAGGGAGAAGGGTGGGGCATGCCTGGCAGCTGGGTTACCTGGTTGGCCTTTCCAGCTTCGCCTAAGCCTGTCCTAGGACCCTGGGAGAACCATGGAATATTCCCGTGCTCTGTTTTCTCATTTTAAAAATGAGAGGGTTAGACTTAATTCCTTATACATACCAAACCTTGGAATCTACGCTCTATAGCATGAAGGTCACATTTGCCCCATCCTGGAAACCCAAGGTAAATAAACTCAATCAGTTTGGAAAAATTTAAAGGGTGCAAAGTTTCCATTTGTGAGGCATTGTAAGAACGCCTCTCTGTCCCAGCTGGCAGCCCCATAAACGAAGCATTTCATGAGCTGCCCAGGGTTTGCTTAATGAGGGAGCCACGTTACACCATCAAATGTTTTCTTTCCCTTTGGTGCCATCACTTTCCCCTTCTTATGCCACTGAGAATTCAGTGTGGCACAGAGACAGTTTATATAAATGAAAACTTTGCAGTATCGAGAGAGAGAACAGGTCTAAATCCAGAGCAAAACGTACAGATTTAAAGTTTCTCTTGTTTACTAATAGTTATTAAACTTCATAGACAAAAAAAAAGGCAAGCTCAAGAAACGGGACAAAGTCACGGATATTTACTCACCTGGTCATAAGCATCCAATTCATTATTGAGGGAATAAAGAGAGCATACATACCCAACAAACGAAGGAGGAGGAACAGGACTCCCAGGGCGTAAGACTTGAGTTCAGGGCTGACTGTCCTACGTGCAAAGAGGTGAAGAGAAGAAAGGAAAAGATTCTTACCACTCCGCTTTAATTAACAGACCCCAGAGTCATCCACTGCTGTCCATCAGAGCCATTCTTTAGAAATTAGTGGGTGGATTGGTTGGTTGGTCATTCATTCATTCATTCATTCATTCGGCTTTCTCTGCCTAAAGTCTGAAAAACAACTAACTGCAGTGACAAGATAAGTTTAGGAACTTAAAAGTGTTTTTTAATAACAGGGCTAATCTTGTCATTGGAAAAAAGACATGCAAATGTGGTCCCTAAAGTCTTCCTTTAAAGGCGTTTTGCTTTTGCCAGGACAGGAAAACATCTTAAGTTGGTAGCACACATGTATTGGGGAAATATCAACTAGGAAGACCATTTCTCTTCTAGCTTCACAAACAGCCAGCACCATGAACACCCTCGACCTTCTCAGGTTATTTTGTGAAATCATCCAGACGAGCATGGTTTGACACCGCAGATGGACCACTTGCAAAATAACCCATTCATCTATATCCAGTGTCAGTACCTTTTAAGTTGGAAAAGTACCTTCAGAGTCATGGTTCTTTGTTTTGAACTGACTCAATCACCCTGGCTTTGGTTTATCTACAACAGTCCCTTAGAATGATTCTCTTGCACATTTTCTAGAATATTCTCAGAATATAACATTTTCTGGGATGAGCATGACAGTAGAGGAGGTTTGGAAAGGTGACCAATTCCAGATAAAGGGGCCCTCACAGCTGATAACACATCTCTTTTGAAATGCCTCTTACTCTTAAAACTCGTATTAATTCAGTGTTTGTCCTCTCTCCTTGAGTCAAGGGACAATTTGTATCTTGTTCACCATGAGTGCAGTGATGATATGCTGAGTAATATGTAAGTGGGTGGAGGGGTAGGCACATGTCTCTCACTCATGACCCAGGCTGGCCCCATCTCTAGTGGGGTGGTGAGGGGCTGTGAAGGTAGACTATTTGCCCGACTCCATGCACACCTGCTGCAGGTCATCCTGGACACCACTGGCAGAGAAACTTCCCCTTATGCTATTGCCATCATGAGTCCCTAGGGGAGATGGAGAGGTAAGCACACGACTATGACTCCTGGAAGGACTTGGCTAGGCCTAGAACGAGTCCGGTGTGGCTGAGCCTTTGGAAACACCAGGAGCATTTCAATATGGCTGAAAGACCTGGAAGACCCATGCAACACAGGGAGGACCTAGGCAATCAGTTCTGTAGAAAATAAATGTTAGAAACAAAGTACCATTGGATATCTAAGTCCACTAGGATATCTAATACCCAGGATACATAATCCGACTATGGATTTAGTGGCTAAAATTATATTCTTATATGACCTCAGAGGTCATTCATCTCACCATCCAATGCCATCCATTCCAATGACCTACCACGTGGTTCGAGCCTCAGGTGGGCATGTCTTTGGCTTCTTGGAAGAGTGGTCAAAGGACACCATCAAACCAAAAGGAACATGGATGTAGTTTTTACAATCTTTGCCCTAGTTCTAAGATTTTCAGTGAAAACTAAAAATGTGTTATTCTTGGGGAAATACCCATTTCCTCTCAATTATAAAGAGTGCAATACGGGCCAGCAGGTCAAGACTTTCTCTGAGTGATGGGAAAGCCACTCTCTGGATGCTGAAACAAGATACCTGAACAACATCAACAATGAGATCAGCATTTCTGGACAGAACCACAGCCAGTTCTCTTTAGAATATACATGTTTCAAAATCCAAGTTCTTTGGAGCTATTTTCAGCTCCATGGTTCTGGTTTTTGCACATTCACTTGAAGGTACTGAATTGAAAGACATCCAAATAAAAGCAAATTCTCCTTTTCAAGAAAACATGCTGGCATAATGAGCTAGAATACTTACCACTTTTAATTTGTTTTCCTTTCAGCTCTCATGTCATTAGGAATAAAATGAGCAAGGGGCTAAGATCTCCCTTCATATCCTGTTGGGGAACTGGTTCCCCCAGAGGGAGTCTTCCTTCTCAGGTCTAGTTATGCAGAAATGGAAGGTTCAGGTCTGAATGTTACTGAAAGGTCTGGGCAAGGCCAGGGATGGGGGCTTAGGTCTACAACTTACGAGCTGATGACCTTGAGAATACTGCTTAACCATTCTCTGAGCCTCCACCTCCCCATCTGTAGAAGGGGGATGCTAATAAGGATGTAAACACGTCATTAAAACAGGAGCCCAGCGCTGGCTCCAAAAAGGGCGCAGTGGGGGTTAGCTTATATCCTCGCTACGGGTGTTCTGCTCACTACAGTGGGGCCATCACTCTGGGACAGGGTAAGGACTGGCACACACCTGGGCTATGGCCCAGGCTATGCCCTCGTGTCTGTCTAGAACAGCTATGATGGCATAGTGGACAGGGATGGTGACAGAATAAGGTGCTACCCCGGTCATCTCGATGGACCCAACGTGTGAGCCTGTGCCTCCAGCAGGCCCCAGCAGAGCATGGAATTACGGGGTGGCTGAGGCCCAACCTAGGTCATGTAGATCATATGTTGCTGATCTATGCGAAGGAATCAAATGTTTCCTGAAAATCTCCAAGAACTGTTTATCAAGTTGGGACTTGGAAGTGATTAAGATATCAACTTTCTGTGTTTGCTCTGCCCGTCACAAACAGTGAGCTGGCTCTTTGTACAGAAATCATGGGGAGCAGAGGAAGGGGACTAGTCACTGCTAATTGTCATGAAGGTCATTCTTCCTGCACCTTGGTGCCTTTTGTGTGTGACCAACACAATATAACTTCACAGGAATTTCTAATAATGAAAAATAAGTTATCCATAATGCGGCTACCCCAGACCCATACCTAGGGCCTGATGGGTTTTGTCCACATGCATATTATATATAATCAACCTCCATATATAATTTAAATGCAATAGTTCATTCCACAAATACTTTTCACATTCTTAAGAATGTTCATTATCCCATTGAGCTATGGTACAGTACTATAATTTAATTCATTATTCCAATTCAGGTTCTTCTGCTATTATAGTTAACATTGTAATAAAAATCTGTCAGCGTGGAGCTGTTTTTCTGGTAGAGAAGTATTTTCCTAAGTGGTGAGAGGTAGGGTTACCTCATAAAAAATCTGAACATTTTTATGACTCTTGATTCACAATGCTCTATTGCTTCTTTGAAAATTGGAGCGACAGGCTTTTCAATCCCACCAGCAGTATGCGATTTGACCAGTTTTGCTGCAGCCTTGCAAGCACTGGGTGTGAATATTTAACACTGATTTCTCAAGTTTAGTAAGTATAGAATGGCACTCTGTTATTATTGCCTTAATGCTTCTGCACATTAACAAGGCTTTGCTAATGACCTCCTCGAGCACTTATATAAGCACTTTGTAGAAATGCTCTTCCTTAGGAATTCATAACCAAGATCGGGAAATGTGGTGGCCATGGGGAGAAAGAGAGAGGAGGTGGATAAAGCAGCTGGGGATGTGCATTGTCAGCACAGGTCACACTCAAGCATTGTGTTCCTACTTGTATTCCTACCCCCTAGGAGTGAATTGGCCGCATCCCAGTAAAGTGGGTCTGTCTGTGTTTGGTGTCGCTTCCTCTAGTTCAGTAGACACTGGGTTATGGAGCATTCCACTTCTAGGTTCCTCACACAACTCTAGGTGACTTGGCAAGTGTACAAGTTACTCGGAAGATGACGCCATAGTTCACCTCGGAGGCACATCCCCTGCCCCCAGGACAGGTCCCGAGAGACGGGGAGCCACACACTATGGGTGCTCTCTCCAGCCATCTATTTATACAAGAGCGGTCACTTCTGGTACACCCATGGTCTCAATGGGACCCACACCAGTGCCGGAGGCGAGCAGGACCAATGACTCCCCGGCCCCCATTCAGAAACAAGTCTGAGGGGAAAATGTGCCCAAGATCATGTGGCTGATCAGTGGTTGGACGGGAGCTGGACTTGAGGACTTGGCTAGTCCAATGCCATTTTTGTTTTACTCCAACGATGCTGCTCTCTGTAAAAGTCAATGCGGGACCAAAGATCCTTTCATAATCACCTGCAGAGTCTACTCTTGGGAGGATATGAAAGTGCATCATCTCCCTTGGGCCACGATTTCTGGTTTCTTGTGAGGTCCCTGGCCAATGTAACGGATCCCTATCAGCCTGGGGAAGCTGGCCTGTGAGACTCACACAGTACCCGACGTTCTGGTCTCCTGAGGACTGCAGACACCCAACGAGGTAGGCAGGGGCAGGGCGAGAGGCGAGGCTGGCTCGCCAGTCCCTGGGTCTGAGCTTACCTGATAAGGATGATGACCGAGGGTGTCTGCGCCATTGCCCCGATCATGCTGCAGACACACATCACACACAGGAAGGTGAGGAAGGCCTCTTGGCACCCAGGACTGGGGCACTTTCCGGGAACCACAGTCGTGTTCTCGGGTGGGACAGTCGTGAGGCACGCACAGCCGGTGAGATTCTGAAATGCAAGTATTCAGCCCTTTTAACTGGGGGCATCTCCCGTTTCCGAACCCAAAGCCATCCATCAGCTGCAGCTGTCACAGGCTAATCATGCGTTCTGCGGCATTCCATTAATTAGGCCTGAATAAACGAGTTAGCTTCTTAAGGAGGCTGCAAAACACATGCAAATAAAGGAATATTTACGGGGAGGAGAGCCCATGCCCTATCTCCTGTGTGTTTCATTTCCACGTTCCAGAATCCCTCAATAAGCTGTACCCTTATGGGTCCCCCCCGCCAAGAACAATTAGAAAGGAAACTGTGCCTCCACAATAGGATAAAACATTGCCAAATTAACGTAATAATTACTTGCCAATTTGTCCTCTCTTTTATGCAGTGATAATATCAACGAAATGTATTAGAAGAAGTACATCAGGTAACCTGCATATTGTTGCTGGTTCGACGCCCAGTGTGGCACTTGGAACAAAGGACATGCATTGTCATGCACGAAGTCGTTGCTCTTGGGGGGCCACCGGAGGGGGCAACTTAATGGGAACATTCTCACATGGCAGGGTAAGCAAAGGGGGCTAAGAGGTGCCAGGAGCTTGGAGCAGATCACGCCCGGGCAGTGAGCTAAAGCCCAAACCAGACACATTTATTAATTCTTGATCCAAGGAGAAAAAAAAAAGGGGGGGGACTGCATTCCATTTGATCTTGTGGGTGGATCCTTGCCCAGCTGCCCCTGCCCCCGGGCGCGGTCTGGTCCCTCCATCATCAGAGGAATTTCTGATGGCAAAGGGAGGAGCAGGGGCGGGGAGAGAGTGCCAAGCAAGCGCCAAGCCAATTAAGATTTGATAATAATAGTGCAGAGGCCTTTAATGAATACAGTCATAAATGATTCATTGCTTTTCTTCTTGGGACTGCTTGGCTTTCAGAGCACACGCCAAGGAAAATCCTCCTGAGGGTCAAACAAATCCCCTTTGGCTTTCACATTCCTCCTGCCTGTCTTCGTTCCTCTCCATCCTCCCTGTGCCTTCTTTTCTCTTCCCACAGAACACAGCATAGGTAGGGGGTTTTCTCATCCCATCAAGCCACATGGGGTTGCTTTCAGGGGTGCCCAAAGGCCCTTTAGGTGCTGCCCGTCCCTGCCCCATCAGGGCCACCTCATACGGCTGTGCCCTGCACAGGGGCTTTTATCCACGGGGCAGAGCTGTGGACAGACAGGGTGTGGGGCTGGACCCTTCTTCCTAAGAGCTGTGCCCAGAGCAGGTGCCTCTGTGTAAACAGCCGGTTACTGTACCCTGTGGCGTTTCCTGTAATTCCCCCAGAGGTGCTGAAGCCTTGCCCTTTGCCCCTTCCCACACACCTCTGCCTGGGGGCTTCCTAGGGCTTCTGTAAAACCTCCTCCTTCTGGGAGGCATCCCCCTGCTGAGCTGGCTCTGAGCCGGGGCCCTCTGTGCACCCCGAGGAGCCGGCACCTCCTTCTATGACGACACTCTCCACACCCCGCTGCAGGACCTTCAGCACACGGCTGGAGGAGACCTCCATGGCTCCTGGGAGGAGGACGGAGTCTGAGACACACTCTCCTGAGCATTTCACAGAGCTGAGACACAGCAGGTGAAGCTTAGCAGATGGTTTTGGAGCACATATGTCATGCTCTTCCCCTGCGTTTACCAGGAGGCAGGACTTCCCCCCACCTAGAACTTAAAATGTCACTTCTCTCCCTACTCAGGGTTGAGGAAAACTGTTCCCTCCCCTCCTCAGACTCCAACTTCACAACCACACTTTGCTAGCTGTCTACACTCACCACCCCCACCTCATCCCCCAAGCTCCCCCTCACTCGGGCTGGGCTGGCTTCTGTCCCCCACAGGCAGGAACCCGATCCATATCCTGAGCCCACCACCCACTTTTCTCTTACTGGAGCCCCCTCAGGAGTGCATGCCTGTGAACCACACCCGTCCCTGGCTTCCACAGCCCATAATCCTCCCAGACCCACTTGATTCATCCTGCCCCAGGGCTCTGAGCACGTTGCCATCTCCATGAGGAATCCAAAACAAACGCCCAGAGCCGGATTCTGCACTGTCAGCTTGGCGCTACCCGCCCTCTACGCTGGGAGCTATTTCCCTAGAAGCCCCTTCCCTGCAGGGGTGAGGGCTAGATGGGGGAGGCACGATGCGGGTGCAATTTAGAAGGCAGATGTGAAGCAGAGGCTGCTACCTCAGAAGGTCAGACACAGGGATGACATCACACCTGTGGAGGTGCCCAGAAGGTGCTGGCTGGCCCTAGCATCTGTGTTTACACCCCCCTCGTTTCTGCCTGTCCTGCTGACAACAGGACAACAACTACTGATGTGGCTGTTTGCCGGCTGATATGGCCAGCACCCCCTTCGTCTCACTCAGCAACCACGTGAACACAGCTTCTTGGGATTTTCCCACAAGCCCCCACGTACCCACCTGAGCAGGTGCTTCTGGGGATGGAGTAACCGTGCTCTGATCCTTCATCTCACTCCTCCCAGATTGTAATTCCCCAACTCCCCCATGTTCACAGTAGCTCTGATTCCCACACTAAATTCTTTATTTCCAGCATACTTGTGGGTGCTGTTTTCCTGACCAAACCCTGACAGATGCACATCCCCCGCCCCAACCTCCTTTCCCTCTGCAACTCTTGCCTGAGAAGTGGTACCCTATTAACTCTCTGGAAACGGGGTGGTAATTCTGGACCCCGACCCTCACTCCCACGTCTGATCCGTCTTCCTCATGACTATGAGGCTAGTGAGGCCAGACACGACTGTGGTTTTGCTCCCTAATTTATCCTCAGCTCTAGGGGACAGGGCTTGGCTCATGACAGGGAGTCAAGAGCTATTTATCAAACAAATGAAGAGATCTCAAGTCCTATTCATTTCACTGTATCCTAAATCCTTCTCAAACCCTCAAATCCTTCTGTCTCTGATTCCTGCAGTAGCCTGGGAGAAAAGAGAGGTCCAAGTCTGGGGGGTGGGCTGAGACCCACATGGACCCAAAGAGTGCTCAGGTATAAATGAGGAACAGGCCCCTTGGGGATGGCTGTGGTCCTGCCTCGTCAAGCATCCTAAGAAGTGAGCTCCAACTCAGCCTCTTAGAGATGTGATGTGAGTACTGGAACTGAGTGATCAGGGCCAGGACCCGGTGAATGAACCATGTGATTGGTGAGCTTTGTTTCAGTTTAAAAAGTAATCTGTAGCTGGGACCTATGCTCAGTCATAGATTTTTGCCCAATACCTGGACTAGGGCTCGACTGCATTATATTTACCATAAAAGGCAACTGCCTGGTTCCTCTCTGCTCTGAGAAGTGAAAAACCCCTTCTGAAATGGATCCACTCCGGATTCGGTCTGTGCTCCTGCCCCTAATGGCGTGGGACCGAGAGAGACCGCTTTCTCTCAGACTGACACAGCGACTGCCCGGCCCTCCTGGTCCAGGGGGTGAATGTGTCCATGAAGCCAATGCCCCGGGGATGGAGTGAGTGGACAGCAGAGTTGAGCCACCATGGGATCTGAGGCCGAGACAAAGGGAGGGACGTGACAGTGCACAAAGCCAGGGAGAGGGATGAGACAAAAACAGGCCAAGGGCAGCTTCAGGCCGACTGGACAAAAACGAGGCACTTGTAAGGTCATTAATACCAGAAGAGCAGAAGTGGGCAATACAACCAGCGAAGATGTTGGCTTACTGGCACCGAGGAAAGAAGATGCAAATGGGTGGGTCCCTCCCAGAGGTTCTGGGCAAACCTGTATTTATTTATTCAGATTTAACTTAATTTATTCGAGAAGGGCTGAAGAGGCTGGGGAGGAGGTAAGCCAGAGGGTCCGAGCAGGGACTTGGATGGGTCTCCTTTTTGGGCAGGTGACTCAGTCTGACACAATGACCAGGAACCACTGGGTGGCCCCACGGTCTGGGGGGCAGCTGGGAATTCTGGGCAACCCTTCCAAGGGGTATCTAAGGGAACATGCTAAGCCTGTGGCCATATGGCAAGAGATGGGAAACATCCTTCATTTGGGCTTAGGTGACACAAAAGATGGGCCTGGACGTCATATGCTAAAGGAGGTGCAGGGACTCTGACTGCTGAGGCAGCTGTCTGGGAAGAAACTTCCACCCACACGTCCACATGTGGTGGAAAGAACCGCAGATGAGGACCACACAGTTTCACCTTTCCCATAATTGCGAGAGATGACTTTCCACCAATGGGGTTTCAGACTACCATCCCAGATAGAAAGGAAGTGGGGCGACAGCCCTTCTGCTGGTATTAACCGGGTGTCTCTGTGGGAACTCCTAAACTTGCAAAAGCTCCAAGCAGCAGGAAGCTGGAAAATACAGAGCAGACCTGGGTGTGACAGAACGATCCACTCTACTGAAGGGATGATAGAGGGCTGGGATCTGAATTCTCACCCTGTCTGGATGCAACAGTCCCTTCGGGCCAGTCTCAGATGGGTCTCAAAACCCACCTGTAGACCATCACGGCCTGAATGAAGTGGTAAACCCAATGCACTCCTGGCCAGTGCCTGATATATTTAACTAGTAAGAAAGTACACCAGGCTCCAGGAGATTGGCTTACCACTCCTGACCTGCAACATGCCCAGTTTTCCATCCCCGTTTCAAAGGAATGTCTTCCCAGTTTGCCATTCTGTGGGAGGGAATGCAGTCTCTGCTGTCTCCAGGGGAGCTGGATTCTCTGTCTGGTGTCATATATTGAGGTGAGGTGGGGTGGGGGCGGGGTCTGGCTTTCCTGGAAATAAGTGCATCCTGATCTATCATGGTGATAATCAGATGACCACTGTGCTCACAGAGGAGCTGGCCTGGCAATATCTGGTACCAGTGCTGACCCAGAGGACAGAGTGGGACTGACCTGGAAATTCTGTAAGAACTTATCCTATAGGCAGACCTGTACTGGGCATAACATGACCTAAGAACTCCAAGAGACACAACGATGTTTGCAAGACCTAAAGTTGTGCAGCAATCTGAATGCCCATCACAGGGACTGGTTACATAGGC